TGTGTGTGTGTGTGTGTGTGTGTGTGTATGGGGTTGGGGAGGGTGCGCTTATGTTACACTCCTAAAATGCTGTTTAACCCTTGTTTCTAGAAACCATTTCCGTTTTTTGGCTTTTGTCAATCCATTGCAAAAATGGCAAATGTAGGCACTTGTGGCTCCTGTGTATGAAGGGGGAGGAGGAAAAGAATTGCCAGTCCTTTGGGAGGCTCCAGAAGTCATTCACATGTAAGTAAAAAGGGAAAATAGAAAAATTGCCAAAGTCATTATTCAGTCCTTAGTTTTCTTATGACATTACTACATCTGCTAATGGAGAACGCATGCTGCAAGCTCAGCTTCTGTTGCCTCCCCCTACCTGCTGACAGACTCTTGATGTGTGCAAATGACTCTCAAGTATCTGCCAGATTGCCTGTATAAGGTATTTATAAGGTATTCTTGTCAGTTAAGTGAAATGGATAAAACTTAACTTTTCTGGTCATGAATATTATCTCACTCCTCTGTTACATACTCTGTTAAGATAACTGTATTGCCACTAGTAATCAAGATGCTAATAAATTACAACTGTCTAAAGAGATCATCTTTTAATATACAAAGATTTGTGCATATTTGGAATTGATATGACATTCATTTGTACTCATTTGAGTGATGACTGCACAATAAACACAGATACCTACAGACTCAGTTTCCGTTCCTTGTGTTCTTTGAATAATGACCTTTACAGATTAGGTATTTCTGTACTTTATCAGTAATAAACTTTGTAGCTCCTGTGAAACATTATTTTGTTTAAATCATTTGAGACTTGAGTCCTTAATATCAGCATCATACTCAACTAGTCAATCTCTTGAGTTTCTGTGACTTGGTTAGAAGCTCTTAACACTAAGGGATTGGCGTTCTCCCTGGGTTTATCAACACTGGGGCATTGCTGTATGACTTGATGTTGCCACATTGACTTTGAAATATATAGTATTTTAAGGATTCTGTTGATTGACCAATGTTCTATTGCAAAGTGTGAGCATACAAATCTTGGTTAACTGTATATAGATAGCTCATTGTTAACTAGTTGAACCGTTAGAATTGCCTGTACTATTTAAGCTTCTGATAAGTGTGCTGGTGGGAACATAACTTTTGTACGTTATACTTACTGAAATGTTGCCTTTTTTAATTTTACAAATACTTTGGAATTCAAATGTTTCTTGCTTCTGTAAGAATTAATTTGGAAGGGTTTTAAATGACATTCCATTGGTTTCAGGTTTTGCTGGAGGTTGACTTAAATAAATTGTCCTGTATGTTCCAAATTAAGTATATGGGCTTGTTCTTTGCCTGTAATTTCCTATTGGGAAGGGGGCCACAAACATACATCTCCTCTCAACCAGTTTCTTCCCTTCAGAATGACAGTGCTGCTAAGAAAGTTTCCTGAGACAGGGGCTCACTATGGAGACCTGACTGGAACCCACTAGCCCAGGCTGGCCTGGACGCTGAGCTCCCCGGAGCGCTGCCTGCCTCTGCGTCTTGGGTGCCAGGACTAAAGGCAGGCGGCCGGCCCTGCAGGGTGCTGCTCCCGCTTCGCTGCGGCGTCTCGGTCCTCCCTGCTACTGCAGGCACTTTCATCTCAAGGCCGTGCTCAGATCCCGGGTGCCGACTGACTGACACCCGGGAAGCCAGCTCAGGCCGAGCAACCCGGGGGACGGGGCCAGGTGGGCCGTTAGAGCCTGGTGACAGTGGGGTCTGACCCGCCGGCTTCCGGCAGGTCGCCCTCGGTGGTGTGGGTTTGGCCCGGGTTGGTGCAGGTCCCCGGAGCCCGCCAGGTGGCGCCAGGCCCAGGCGGAACCCGGTGCTCGTTGGAGCCACGTCAGCCTGGTCTGCCCACAGTCCTAGGGATGCGGAAAGTTGCGGTAGCCCTGGGAGCCGAACTGGGCGTACGGGTCCTGCTCGTCCTGGCCTTCCTGTGAGGATTTTCTAGAACTCTCCCTCACTTCCCGGCACACCTCCCCCTTCTTCCGAAGAGCCGGGAGCGGGACTTCCCGGAAGTAGTGCCAAGTCCGTGCCTTTTCTCCCCAGGGTAACGGAACTGCTCCCTCCCTTCCAGCGGCACATCCAGCCAGAGGAGATGTGGCTCTACCGGAACCCCTATGTGGAGGCCGAGTACTTCCCTACCCGGTCCATGTTTGTGCGTGGACCACCCTTCCCGCCGGGCGGAGATCAGGCAGCTCAGCACCAGGGCGTGGGCACAGCTTGGCGTGAACCGCGGGGAGGGACGGACTTAAAACCCCAACTAGCGGGCACTGGTCTGAGCGGGTTCTCTAGTGCGGGAGCCGTTGAGAGCAGCGGGGAGTTACTCGCTGCCGCCGGCGTCACCTTCCCTGTACCCCGGTCCAGGCCATCGCACTTGTGTCTCCGCTGTCCCTCATCGTCCTGGCCAAGGTCCTGAAGAAAGCGGATACCGCAGACAGCAAGCAAGCCTGTCTGGGTAAGAGCCGCCGCTTGCTGCCGCCGGGCGCGGAAGCAGCCTTCAGAGGACGCGGAATTGCGCTCTTGGGTGTGTCCCACGGGGACATAACCTGCCCTGCGAGGCAGAAGTACCGTTCTGTAAGGACTGGGTCAGCAGTGACACCCCTAGGTACCTAAACCTACTGGCCTGTGCCGAAGGCCAAGTGGGGCCGTGCGCTTCCGGGCGCGTACGCAGACACTTCCTTTGCTTTCAGCTGCCAGCCTTGCCCTCACTCTGAACGGCGTCTTTACCAACACAATGAAACTGATCGTGGGGAGGTACGTGAACAGTCTGCCCTCCTCTTTCTCATGCTCTTCTCTCCCTTTTCCCCAGCGTCTCCTCACTCAGAACTTCCTCCCCGGCCTTATGCTGCAGTTCTGAAGGCAACACTGGAGCATCTTCCACCCCAAAACATTCCCACTAGTGTTATCACCCGCGACGCTACAATCGCATGCGGGACACTCACTTTTCACTTAAATGTTGGCCATGGTTCTAAAGCTTTTTTCTCAGTATAGTGACTGTCCTGATCCAATTACATGATTTTGCCTAGGGCATTGTCTGACCAACAGCTAACAGTATTGCTGATGTCTAATACAACTGGAAAATACTTTCTGGACGAGTTAAACGGTCCATGCTCACTCCATGCTTGTATTTCTTCCAGGCCACGCCCAGATTTCTTCTATCGCTGCTTCCCTGATGGGCTTGCGCATTCTCATTTGTCTTGCACAGGGGATAAGGATGTGGTGAATGAGGGCCGGAAGAGCTTCCCTAGTGGACATTCTTCCTGTATGAATTTCATATGGATTGCTTCAGTATTTATAAATGTATTTGCATTTTATGTTTTCCTGTGTGCATGTAAGTATACAATGTGCATGCAATGCCCCTGGAAGCCAGAAGAGGAACTAGGGCTACTCATGGTTGTCAGCTGCCATGTGGGTGCTGAGAACCAAATCTGAGTCACTCATCAGTAGCAGCCAGTGCTCTTAACTGCTGAGCTACCTCTCCAGCTCCAATATTGCTTTTTAATTATTACAATTAACCTAGGAACCTTATAAGAACAATCTTGTACTAGTCATAAAAAATACCTTTATTGAAGTTATGTGCCAGGTGCTCTGCCTTGCTAGCTCACAAGAACCCATTAACCCGTATGTACTGTTTTTTATGATTGCCGTTTATAGATGATGAATCTACATAGCATTGCTCAATTAACTTTGGACACAAAACCCTTCATTTTTCTCTTTTCCACCCTTGTAACCAATTATCTACTCCAGAAAAATTGTAAAGGGGTAAAACACATCCTGGCCTCCTACTCTGGAGATGAGTGATGGGGCTTCCAATTAAGAGACACACATTTCTAACCATGTCCCCTCTTCTAGTTGCATTTGCCAGTCTGGCCTTTGCATCCTTCTACCTGGCAGGGAAGTTACACTGCTTCACACCACAAGGCCGTGGGCAATCTTGGAGGTTTTGTGCCTTTCTATCGCCTCTACTTCTTGCAGCAGTAATTGCACTATCCCGCACCTGTGACTACAAGCATCACTGGCAGGGTAAGCAGGGTTATTTATGCCATAGAAATTTGTTTCACTCAACATTTTAGCCCTATAAACTGGCACAGAGAAGCTGCTAAAAGAATAAACAAGGGCTGGAGAGATGGCTCAGTGGTTAAGAGCACTGACTGCTCTTGCAGAGGACCCAGAATCGATTCCCAGCACCCACATGGTGGCTAACACATTCATAACTCCAGTTCCAGGGGATCCAATACCCCCTTCTGACCTCCAAGGCATTGCACGACACAGGGTGTACTCACATACATGCAGGCAATACACTCATACACATAAAATAAAAATTATTAAAAAAAAAAGTACAAATGAGTAAGTGTAGATGATCTGAGTTCTGTACTGTATATGCATTTATAGCCATGCAGAAGACAAAAGTTAACTTTGGGGCCAGCAAGATAGCCCAGAGTTAGGTAAAGGCATTTATTTCACAAGCCTGGCAATCTGAACTTGATCCCTGGAACTCAAAGTGGAAGGAGAGAACCAATTTCAGAGTTGTCCTCTGACTGCTACATGTATGCCTCATCCCCGCAATACACAAATACACACACTGATAAATTTTTTAAAAAGTTAATTTGTGATGCCAGGTGTGGTGGTGAGTGCCTTTAACCCTGGTCCTCAGGCAGATCTCTGTGAAACTGAGGCCAGCCTGGTCCACACAGTGACTTCCACAGGGACTGGGACTAGGGAGATCCTGTTGGGGGCGGGGATACCCAAAACCACAAAACATCTGATTTTTCCATTATTTGAAACACTAATTCAAATGAAAATGCATCTATAATAAATTGGGGGGTGGGGGGCTGTAAAGATGGCTCAGTGTTTAAAAAGTCTTACTGCTTCTGCAGAAGACCCAGAATTGGTTCCAACATGTGCATATCAGGTGGCTCACAGCCACCTGTAATTCCAGTACCGAGGATGTGATGCTCTCCTGACCTCCATGGGCTCCTGTAAACTCATAGTGAACATACCTGTACTCAGGCACACATAAATACACATTAAATACTTTTTGCCAGGTGTGGTAGGGCACATCTTTAATCCCAGCACTTGGGAGGCAGAGGCAGGCAGATCTCTGAGTTGTTTGAGGCCAGCCTGATCTACATAGGCAGTTCCAGGCCAGCCTTAACCTACATATCTCAACTAAAACAAACAAAAAATAAGTATCTTTTTTTAAAAATGGGGGGGGGGTAGCTGGGTGTGGTGGCGTACACCTGTAGTCCCAGCACTTGGGAGGCAGAGGCAGGTGGATCTCCGTGAGTTCAAGGCCAGCCTGGTCTACATGGTGAGTTCCAGGACAGCTGGGGCTACAGGGAGACCCTGCTTCAAAAAGACAAAAAAAAAAAAATATTGAGGGGGGGCTGGAGAGATGGCTCAGCAGTTAAGAGCACTTCCTGATCTTGCAGAGAACCCAGGTTCAGTTCCCAGTATCCACATGGTGGCTCACAAACCTTGGTAACTCCAGTTCTAGAGGATCCAACACCTCTGCAGGCACTGAACGACACGGATGCACTTACACATATACAGGCAATACACTCATACACATAAAATGAAAGAATATTATAAAAAAAAGAACACTGGCTATTCATGCAGAAGATCTGGGTTCAATTCCCAGCACTCACATGGTGGCTAATAACCATCTCTACCTCCAGTTCCAGGGGAATCCAACACCCTCTTCTGACCTCAGTGGGCTTTGCATGACATGGGTGCACTTACATGCAGGCAACACACTCATGTATGTACAAATAATAAAATTTAGCTGGGCATGGTGGCACACACCTTTAATTCTAGCACTCAGGAGGCACAGGCAGGCAGATCTCTGTGAGTTCAAGGCCATCCTGGTCTACATAGTACGAGTTCCAGGCCATCTGGGGCTACAGGGAGACCCTGTCTCAAGAAAGACCCCTCCCCGCAATTTTTTTTTTAACTAAAAAAAATTTAAGCCAGGCATGATGGTACATGCCTGTTATCTCAGCACTGGGGAGGCTGAAGCAGGAAAATTCTGAGTTTGAAGCCAGCCTGGCTACATAGCAAGAACCTGTCTTAAAGTTGGGGGTCGAAGGGGAATAAGATTTTTCTCAGAAACAAAAATTCAAAAAATATAAAATAATTAATCCCAAGAAATTTAAGTTGAATGCTAGAGTAAAACATTATGGAGATTATCATCAAAGACAAGACACAGCTGCAGAGTTAGGGTATTACTCAGAAGTGCAGGGAGCATGACTTTAAACAGGGAGACAGCTCCTGAAGCTCATTCCTCCCCTAGGGGTTTTCCTTCTTTATATTTTATGTGTATGAGTGTTTGCCTGTATGCATGTAAGTACACCCATGCCAAAAGAGGGCGATGGATCCACTGAACTGGAGTTAAGAGGACAGCTGTTAGCTGTAACACAGTGCTGGGAACCATGCTGGGAACGTAATGTTCCTCTGCAGGAAGCTCCCTATTGTTAGAATCACAAGGGTGTGCCACCACTCCTGGTCAGCACACTTGAAATAGCCAAAGCATGTCAATGAATAGAACTGCATGAATATTTGCTATTCTTCTCAATTAAAAAAATTCTTAGACGATGCTAAATATGGGTTATACCAATTTAACTAAAGGTGTTTTGATTTGGTGTTTAGAGAATAGTCCTGCACTTCCATAAAATTTAGACAGCTAAAAAAACCCTCTAAACTTGGATTTTTACAAGGAGAGTAACCTGGAAGGCCAAGACCTCTACAGCTGTGCAGTGTCTAACATGGTAAGAACGGACCTATTTCCTCTCTCTTCAGATATACTGGTTGGATCCATGATTGGAGTGATCTTTGCCTATGTCTGCTACAGGCAGTATTATCCTCCTCTGACTGAGGCAGAATGCCATAAGCCATTTCAGGACAATCATCAAACCACCACTTCACAGAAGCAGCCTGCTGATTCTTACCATTTGGATATTTAGCTAAATCTACCTAAATGAAGACCAGGCAAACCAACCTTCCTGATGAACACCATGGGCAAGTCAAGACTTTCTGGCCCTTTTACCCCTTCTAAAGTAAAAGTGACGACACAGCCAGGCCACATTTCTGCCTCCACATGACTGTGCAGTTTTGCCTCAGGTCACCTGAACATATCCTGAGGAATCAAGGTTATTTTCCACTACTGTATACCACCTGTTCTGGGAAAGGACCTTTCAGCCACTCTCTTACCAGGTTAATGAATCTGGCCCATAAGATTGGCATTCTGAGATCTGTTATTTTCACATTTAATTTCAATTATCACTCAAGAACTTTTTGACAAAGAAGACTTTTTTACATGGCCCCACTTTATCCTAAGAAAGTTAATTACCAAAACTTAATTTCCATTCCTTATAAATCAGAATCTTAAAATCTAGAGCAGTAGAACTAAATTTCTTTGACTCTATTTACTTTTTGTGGTAACATTCCATTGAGCCTTAAATAAGAAAATGGCCAGTTTTGGCTAATTTCTCACTTTTTGACTATATCAGGAAAGAAAAACTAGAGACACTCTCTGGAAGACAAATGCACCTTTGTCTCTCTCCTCCTTTCAAGGTGATACAAGGACAGTCACAGGCCACTGTCAGAACTGGATTCCCAGGACCTTACACCTGCCTTTCCTTTACTGCCATGGTACTGTAAACCTAACCTTATTACAGCCACCTTCCTATAATATACTTGAAAATATATTTTCAATGCCTTTTTTTACTTCAGTAAATCTTGATATTGAAATAAAATGGTGAATGTGCACGTTCTTTTTTGTATGTTAAGCACCATTCTGAGACTGGAACATAAACACTGATTTCCCATCTGACATAAGTGGTTAACTGCTGTTATCTGTTATATTAGCTGATATCTGTACATACCTAGGACAGTCTTTGTATTTACAATTGCTATATCGGATCACAACAATGAAAACATTAGTCAAGGGAAAATAAATTACATACTAATTTGCCTAAAATTTTTAAACAGGAGAGGAAATGGTTAATGTATTGATTTTTCTTTATGACAGATGAGGCCAGGTGAAAGTAGGCAACTGGTCAACAGTTTTATTTCAGTATTTACTAAAGTCTTAAATATAATCACATATAAAACATTTCAAAAGTGCAAAATATCAGAAGCTAATCAGTGCTATTAACTCTTCCTTGCAGGCAGTCTCTCACTGAGATTAGGCAAAACCAATTCTGTAGCTAGGAATATGTACAAAATGCTCTTATACTAGAGTTTAGTAATGGGCTTGGTCAAGAGGTTGCACATGATAAAATGAAGGAGTGCAAGTAATTTATAACTAAATAAAGGACCTTAACCTTATTCATTGTATAACACACAGTCATGATGGGTGAGACACTAAGGTGTTTTAGTTATCTGCCCACACCACCAGGAAAGAAGCATTTCTTAGTACAGTGGTTTATCTAGCTCTCCAGGGCTAAGCTGCCCATCTTTGGTTACAGGAACTCATTCTTGGTTGTACTTTGGTTTACTCTTAAACAGTAACTATTCTGCAAGAAGAGTAAACAAATTTGAAGACAACAACTTTAGTATACAATGTATACTACTTAATTCTCAATAATTCTTACTCAGTTACTGTAATGAAAATAAAATATGCCACATATCTGAAACTTCTTAGTAGCTTATTCTGCATTAATCCATAAGCAGAGACAGGCTTGAACTATGCCCACCTGTGCATCTACAACCTGTAAGGCGACTGACAGTAGTTAACCTTCCTTTTCTATGCTAAAAAGGATAAAAGACTGTTCTTTCTAAAGGAGGCTCAGTGAGCATTAAATACCAGTATTTTTGGATACCATGATATGTTTAGAAAAAAAAATGTTTGGACAAAAATCAAAACATAACTCCCCTGCTTCTGGCACTCTGTAAAACAGGCCTGTGGAAATCCAAGAGGGGGTACAAAGGACTGAGCACTGCAGAGGTGCTGACAAGTGGGGAAGAAAACCTCCAGCAAAGTGGTGAGCAGACACCTTGGTAAAAGCTTAGTGTAGTCACTCATGTTCTTCAAGGTAAACCTCATGCTGCATGCAGGCGTTCTGGGGGATGCATCAGAAAGCAATGCTGTTTACACCACAGTATCTCCTTCCCTAAGTAGAAGTGGCAGGTGACAAGTTGGCACCACTGAAAGAGTCCATTTATAACCTTGGAAAAGCCTTGTAATTTCAGGTTCACCAACTTTTACAACTTCATCTTCAAAATAAGTATAAACAAATAACTTCTGTCAAATGTCACCCCCAGTTTGGAATATGGTTTAAAGAAGCAGCTATACAATGCATACACTCTTCAGACTTAAAGCTGGAGTAGCTGTCAAAAAAAAAAAAATGAACAGCACCAGCAATTCCTAGCAATAACCCTGTCAGTTCTCAGAGCAAGCTACATTCTAATATTTCTTCATAAAGTACTTAGAGGAAAGAAACACTGGCTTAAAAACAAACAAGCCGGGCGTGATGGCGCACGCTTTTAGTCCCAGCACACGTGAGTTCCAGAACAGCTGGGACTATAGAGAGACCCTGTCTCAAAAAAACCAGACAAAACCACAAACAGACACAGAGCCACAACCCCCATCCCCCACTATTTCCATATCCATCTATGCTTAGTTTAGCGTGCAAAGAACAAGAAATGACTGGATCCCTAAGTACTTGTAAATCTCAGTGATCTCCTAAACTGGAACACTTTCTAAAGATAAGCGGAAACCTCCCTCTAAGCAACCCTGGACAAATCAAACCCAAAGTAAACTATATATCTTTTCATGTAATAAAGTGTGGCACCTACTACTATTAGAGAAAAGATATAAGCACAGACTACTGAGTGTTTATATAAAGCCAATGGTTAAAAAGCAATACATTGCGGTGGTGGTGCACGCCTTTAATCCCAGCACTCAGGAGGCAGAGGCAAGTGGACTGCTATTGAGTTCAGGGTCAGCCTGGTCTACATAGTAAGTTTGAGGCCAGCTGGGGCTAGAGGGAGACCCTGTCTCCCCAAAAATAGGTATCTTCCTTTCGTTGTCCACTAATTTCCAGAAAGATTATCCTCCAAAGACCCAGTTAGGTAAGTGGCACGCAACATGCAGGAAACGATGTAGCTGATGAGAAGAAAACGGCAGCAACAATCAGGTGGATTTTCTGGGAAAATCCCTGTGTCCATCTAAGGGAGAGTGGGAGAAGGTGGTCAGCATGCAGGCAGAGCAGACAGTGACCAGCAACTAGAGCGCCAAGTCAAACGCAGACTTTGCCAGTTTCCTATCTGAAAGACTGAACATTATAAAGCTAGGGATCTGAAAAGTTGTGGCTCTTGCCATGTTAACTCTCAAATGATCAGAACTACAGAGATTGTGAATTTAGATCCTAAAAGATGTCACTTGTCACTGAACAAAACCCCAAGCACAAGACATACAATAATCATTCTCTAAGTGGGGTAATTTTAACAAGTGTCTCCAAGTATTAGCTTAGATCTTGGTGATAAGGGCTATGTATAAAGAGCTTGAGGTTTACATATAAATACTATACTATATTAAAAACTTACATTAAGCAGCTACAGGTGGGCCATTTTTACTGTAAGGGCTGATCAAGGAAGACACCCTGGGTCTGGTAGATCTCTTTGAGGACCAGCAATGCTGTGTCTTCAGATTCCCTATGAAGAGAAAAACTTACGTTGAGAAAAGACTGAACACTCTGGTGCCAGATGCTTCTCATTTAATCTATACAAACACCCTGGCTTTTATTTTAAATGAACCTCAGAAGAGCACTGCAGTGGTTTGGAAGGTGATCTGGGAAAAACAAAACCAAAAACACTAGCATTATGTCTGAAAATAGGAAAAGCTAAAGGTCCCGACCCTCTCCCCAATAAAGGCAGTAAATGACCAAGAAAGAGTCCATAGAATCTTTTTATTTTGTTTTGCTTTTTTTGAGGCAGTCTCACTGTAGTCCAGGCTACCCCGAAACTCGTTCTATAGCCTAGAATGATTTTGAATTCACAGCAATCCTCTTACCTCAGCCTCTTGAGTGCTAGAATTACAAGCATGAGCCACCATGCTCTGCTCCAGTCATTTCACAACACTGAAGAGCCGTTTTAGTTGCTCAGCTTCGTTCAAAATCTTTAATTCACTTTTGGAAAAGGGCAGTGAAATCATGACTGATTCAAAATTCAAAATATATACAATAGGAGGCTGAAGATATGGCTCAGTGGGTAAGAGCAAGTGCTGGCAAGAATGAAGACCTGAAGCCAGGCATGGCAGATCTGTGTAAGAGATCTCTGTCTACAAAGCAAGTTCCAACTGTCTGGGGCTACATGGAGACCCTGTCTTAAAAGGGGGAGGGGGGCTGGAGAGGTGGCTCAGTGCTTAAGAACACTGGCTGTTCTTGCAGAAAACCAAGGTTCAAATCCCAGCACCCATCCAGCAGCTAACAGCTGTCCGCAATTCCAGTTCCAGGGGATCTGACGCCCTCTTCTGACCTCCACAGGCACTGCACAACATGGGTGCACTTACCTACATGCAGG